AGATCTTGAGTGATTGATCATCTTGGCCGACAGGAGACCCTTGATCAGTTCTGCCAATTTCGCTCGGAACTGGATCTGCAGCTTACGGCACTTAAGGTCGATCGGCTGAACTCCTCCCACATCAATATCCCACACACATCGGGCTGCTGGTGGGAGCGCATTTCCCTTGCCGATCAAAAGATGTCGGAACTTCCAGATCCACTGGCGGAGCCGGTCGATTTCTTCCGGCGTCTGATTGTCGGATCCGCACAATTGGATATCGTCGATCCTCACATCTTCCGTCGTTGGTGGGACTTCGGGCAGTACCGCTAGTTGTCCGTCGACATCTTCGGCGTAGAGGTCACTACCCTCGTGGTAATACACACATTCGTCGTAATCTTGATTCGAGTCCCAAGTGAGATCCAGGTCCGATGTGTCAGGTTAATCTTCAAGAACAGCTGCCCGATCTTCGTCCTTTTTCTGCGACATAGACGTGGCGTCCTTCTGGTCCAACGGGTCGCCCAACTTATGGCACCTCTCAGATTTTACATCCATCAATGATGATGAGTGTAACCCATCACCCTTCGATGTCGCCACCTTCGGATCTTGGACTTCTTCGATTGGTGGATCTTGATCTGCACCAGTTACACCACTTGGGGTATATCTGCCAATACTGTTTCCACGGCTGGATCCTCGACCAGGGCCAGACTCACCGTTGTAATACTTGATACACCTGGATCCTGATCGTCCAGCGCCCTCACGACCGTTACAACATGTGACATGGAGTCGTCATCTGCGATAGACGACAGATCCGACCCATCACTTGCGACAGACGCCACGTCCAACGGTCGACAATCCAGCGGCGGATTGTCCGACGGCGGTTTATCCACAGGCGGATGGTCAGAGTCCTCTTGGTCTCTACTTGATCCGCCCTTCAGACACTTGATCGCCGTCGGTCTTGGTCGTTGCAGGATTCCACGCGGAGTTTCATACTCGGGGCGCTCCACTGCCGGACTCGGCGGATCTTCAGCTTC